GATAACTATATAAAATTATTTGTCGTGCAGGGTAGTTTTTATTATATTATTTACCTGGAACATATTAAGTTTGATTATAATTTTTTTTGTGTATTAATTAAACGATGAAGATGAAGATGCGAGACTCACACGTCCCATCTTTGAGTTGATAAAATAAATTATACATTGCAAAATATAATTGTTCTTCTTGACTTGCAATTATATATTTATGATTTTTATTTTACGACAAGATGCTACAAAAATACACTTAAGCATACATCCTTTATATGTTTGGCAACACACTTTTTATGAATTTCAGTAAAACTTGTGTGTCATTGTTTTATCTACAACTCATAAAAGACTTTGACGCCATTCCTTGTATAATCGGGGTCCAACAGATTTTTGCATGTTTAGACATGAATCTATGCAATGCAAGCACGAAAAAGACAAAACAAGTTGAAAGATATTTGCTACTTTTACATGTTAATTAATTAAACAATATTTCTTGTATAACAAAAATGTTTTGAAAGGTTACTAATCATTTGCATGTTTTTTATACAATTATGACATTAAAAGCATCTTCACTTATAGTGTCTTTGATTTAAGTACAAATGTGATATGTTTATTCAGATTTATAGGATAGAACTACAACTCTTATTAAGATATAAATAATATGTAGTTAATAATAATCACATCAAACTAAAAATAATTTTATCAAAACTTGTTAATAAGTTTAAGAGTTTCTAATATTAGGTGGTATGGAAATAGATTATTTAGAAATAATCCAACCTAACTTTTTTCATTTTATTATAGCAAGGTGGATAGACAACAAACTAGTCAAGTACGTGTTACCAAAGTTTTTTTATAATTAAATTTGAGGTTTAATTTTTTATATTAAAATATATTTAATAAAATTGTTTTGTTGATATTATAATAGGTTATATGGACACCTTATTTTAAAGATGACATGATAGCTTCTCCTTCTATATATATAATGAAGAAAGAGACAAAGACTTATGAATAACAATAGTCTCACTAATATTTTTGGAGGTGATTGAGTTGCATTACCTAGACTGTATGATGAGACAGTTTTGCTAGCAATAACATATCCTTGTTGACATAAATAAAAGTGATGTATTGCATGTCATTAGTTGTTATGACAATAACTATGATTATAGTTGAATGACTTATCATCTTCATTACATATTGCAATGATATGCACAAAAAAATGAAATCTTCATAATGATATTTCATGTGATTTTAAAGAAGTCCTACTTAGAATAGTATTGGAGTATAACATGTCAAATCATCACAACAAACCCTGAGCATATTTCTTTACGGGGGACATGAAATACGAGTCACGTGAATAATGAATTCAAAATTACATGAGTATTTGTTACTTTTTTAATAAATAAATAATAAACAATGCTTTATAGTTATGGATTAATATATGTATTCACTAAATATTAGGTTGACATGTTGTTATAATAGAGTTAAGAAGCCACTATGGATCTTTATAGTCTCAAAGATGACGATCATACTCATAATTATTCATCTTAGTGGCTCGATATTTGCCACAATACACTTGACATGTTTGAAAAGAAATTACATCTAGAGAATACTGTATCAGAAAATGATGTCACTTAAACATAAGGAAGTTGTGCTATTAATGAAGTCAACTCATCCACTTATGGTAGGAAACATAGATAAAGTAGGATATATGTAGATAATATAAATATATTATGTTATTTTTTAATGATGAATTTGTATTCTTTTATTTCTTGTATTTTATTAATTTTATAATTATTTTGGATTTGTCAAATTGAGATTTTAATATTGTTGATCATATTATAAATGTTCAAATTTATTTTGGATTAGAAGAATTTAAAATAAAAAATTTATAGGTGAACATACGAATGAAGATAATACGTTGTTTGGATTTTCAAATCATACATTTATAGGTCTTCAAATGGAACATTGTTATGTTATGTTATTACCAATACTAATTACTATTATGCAATTTAATGTTTGTTGTTATGATAATCAAATTAAAGAAAAAAAAAATGTTTGGACTTTTATATATTTTCATTAACTTATGGAGCAACAAATCTAGTCTAATGTAATAAATAATATAAAACATTATCAAATTAAATCACAATGAAGTAATCAACAAACTAAACTAAAAATCTCAAAGCAACAACTAATTAAATTGTTAGGGTGTTGTTTAGGGTTAGGGTGTAAGGTTTTTGAATCAAAATCATAGTTCCCTAACATAACTTTAAAAAGTATATTATTTTACTAAAATTTTTCTTGATGCATGCTATTTTACTAATGTATATATTAACAAAATATATAGGGCATGAGAAAAATATCATAACTATAGACATAGATTATTGTAGATTGTAATAAAAATTGATGATTTTTCTTCTCCAAATCATCCTAAAAGACTAAACTTAGAGGTAAAATGAACTTTTCCATGTGATTCATTTATTATTTTCATTTTCAATAAGGTTACAAAGGTATTTTTACTCTTTTAGAATATTAAAATACATTCATTGGTTTAAAAGCAAATATCAGATAATTGGTTGCTAGGAGTTTTTTTGAGATTTTATTTTTTTAGCACTATAAAATTACTAATTTACTCTTAAAATGAAATTTAACTCAGGCTTGCTTTGGGAGCATTTCTAGATTTTCATGTTGGCTTTTATGTTATAACTAAATTAGTAAAAAGTTAAATTTATAGTCTTACATCAATTAGAAATTATTAATTTTTCAGAATTATTAATTGCGTGCCATACAAGTTGTTTCACATTGAAGGGTTCCGCCACACTTTCATGATGTATATGAAATTATTTAGTTGTGAATCTTTTGTGTCATTAGATTCCTCACGATATTGTTTTTCTTTATCAGTGACGATGTTTGGTGTTTTTGGATGGATTCCAGCCAAAGCTATTTTTTTTTATTTTCTTTTTTTTCTCTTTTCTCCCTTAAAATTCATGTCTACAATTAAAACTTCAAGGTGGTCCCTTTATTAAGGATATTTGAGTATCGATACTCATTATTATCTCTTATTTTTTTTTATAAACTTTTAATTGTTTTTAATTTCATTATTTAATCAAAATAATTAGATTCTTATTTTTTAAAAAAAAAATTTGTTCCTCACTTTTTGGGTGGTTTTTTTAAATTCTTTTGTAATTTTCTTCTTCAATTTAGCATTTTAATAAAAAAAAATCCACCTTCTCATTTTTTTCTTCAAATTTGATGCTAATTTTTTATTACTATTTTATGTTTTTAATTCATTCTATGATTTAATGATTTTTTTTTAATTTCATCACTTGACATTTGATTTTTTAAGGGTTGGGCTTCATAATTTTTACAAGTTTGATGTTTCTAATTAAATGGTTTGGGTCATAAGTTTTATGAGCAAACACATGTCCCCATCTTTTTTTTATGGATTTGTTTTTTTATTTCATTACTCAAAGTTGATTTTTTTTTTTTAAAAAAAAAGCTTCATGGTTTTCTTCATTTTTCTTTTTATAAGATTATCCATATCTCTTGACATGACCCGTGGGTATTCCAGGTAGGCTCGCCCCCCTCTTTTTTTCTTTTTCCCTCCTTTTAGTTGCTTTCTTTTTTTTAGGATCATTTTGTGTTGTTGATTTTTTTTTAATTTTATTATTCAACACTTAATTTGTTGAGAATTAACCATCGTAGTTTTTTGATATTTGGTTCCAATTAAATGGCCAAGGGCATATGTTTTATTAGCCAATAGGGGCTGTCATCCTTTTTTCGAGCTTATTTTTTCCTTTCATCTCATAATTCAACGTTGATTTTTAAAAAAATCTGATTTCATGATTTTTTTATCGAGTTATTTTGATTTCATAATTTGACCTATAAATTTGATTGGTTCACTCAAGTAGGCTTAGGGCTTGCTTTTTTTTTATCTTACAATTGCTATTTTTTTTTATCCTTTTGTATGTTAGATTTTATTTTTTTAATTTTACTCTTTAATATTTGATTTGTTGAGGATTGAATTTTGATTTTTTTTTTAAATTGTTACTTTTGATGAAATGACTTAGATCACTAGCTTAATGAGTTAGCATAGGTGAATAATTTTTTT